TGCTAAATTTAAATCTTCATCTGTCCTTTTCCTGTAGGAGGTGGGTATTTTAAGGGAGCGACAGCGTGGTGGCTCATAAGATGCAGTGACACCATTGCTGTGAAAATAATCTGCTAGCTCCTCCTGTCTGTCAGATGCCTCCACCCACCTGCCAGGGACTTGCCCAAAGGATGCTGAGTGAGGAGAGGGTTCCCAGGAAGTGGAGTTCAGGAAACAAGGGAAACCATACCCACAGTCACAGAGAAACAGAGTAGACACAAACTGATCCTTAGACATCCCTCAGAGACATCCCAGGATCTGAGGGATTCACCAGGCCAACATACAGTCCAGAGGAATCCTGAGTTATAAGTCTAGGGGATCTTTTAGGGGACTCACTTTGGGGAGCAAACATGGATATTACATTTTGAAGGCTATATGAGGTCTCCCATAGCTCCTAGAAGACTGAGAACAGAAGTGTCATTCTTTCCCTACCCAACAAAGTCCCCAGGGTGGGGGCTAGTGGGTGAGGCAATGGAAGTTTCCGAATTCTTGCTAATGGGTGCATCAGCCTGAAAGTTGCTGGGTGTAATGGAGACTCCTGATGTATGCAGAGCCCTCTTACTAGTGTGTGTGTGCCTAACACCCAGGAAGTACAAGGGTGAGTTTTCAGGTCTCTGGTCTGGTAACAGAAAGGACACACTCTGTTCTTCAACTCATGGTTACCATATCTGCCTCTACAGCATGGCTTCTCCCAAGGGCATAGCTCTTCATCTTGCATCTTTTGGGAAACTTAATTAATTTTCATTGCAGAGAGGATTTCAGAGGAAAACATCCTTCCAGTGCAGAATGGAGTCAGGCCAAAGGAAATGTGTTGGCTACTTCGAATTAAATAGGAGTAGTAAGTTGGAAACACTGCCCAAGACCAGGCACCCTGAGGCTTTGCTAGCTTCTACATGGGAGGTTAGGGAGTAGCATTCCAGGAGATCTTGAGCAACAAAATAAAAACCCATTTGGACTTCTGCCTGCTGTCTTTTCTCTGTATGGTCAGAATTAGTATCTTGCCTCATGCCTGATTCCTTGTGTGCGCTCGTGTGTGTGTGTGTGTGTGTGTGTGTGTGTGTGAGAGAGAGAGAGAGAGAGAGAGAGAGAGAGAGAGAGAGAGAGAGAGAGAGAGAGAGAGAGAGAGAGAGAGAGAGAGAGAGAGAGAGAGAGAGAGAGAGAGAGAGAGAGAGAGAGAGAGAGAGAGAGAGAGAGAGAGAGAGAGCAAGCGCGCTAGCGAGAGCGCGCACTCAAGGTCTTCTCCAGGCCCCCACGCTCTTACATATACCACCACCCCCACCACAACTCACAATGTCTCTACGTGTTCAATTGTCATAGAGGGAAGATGGCAGTAACCATATCCTGGGATCTGGGGTGTCAGACATGAGGGACAGGAAAGGTTACACTTATAAGACATAATCAGTGATCAGTGGCTCTGATTCTGGAGTCTCCAGGAAACTAATGTAGAATGGTAGGTTTCAAAAGAAACTCCATCCCAGAAGGCAGATGATCCAGAAAGGCCAGCAGTCTGGCTGAGATTAGGCAGATGCCAAAAAAGACTCCACGCTGCCATTTGCCATTCTCTGCTGCTGATGTGTGTCCATCAAGGGGTGGACAGTTCCTAGTGAGCTCTCCCTCTCTCCTGCCCACTCCATAGAAGTATGGCTTGAACTGGAGGTGAATAAGGACCCCATGCCACAGTGCATGGGCTCCAAGGGCAAGCACAGAAATAACAGGATGCACTTGGCTTCAGCTCCTCTGCATGAGAAGCTGTGGTCTCTGAGACCAGGGAGGGTGAGGATGAGGAGGGATGGCAAAGTGGGGGAGAATGATGTGAACACACTGAAATTCAGGACAACAAAGTCTCTCTCATGCCTCTCTACCTATTGAGCCATCACCTGAGCCTCTGAAGGACTCTGGCTAAACAGGTAGAGCTGCCTCCCACATGGTATTGCCACAGGAACAGAAACGTCAGCTTGGCATACAGGTGGCCCCACCATAGGAGAGGCTGCCACAGGGCAACTGCTTGGCCACCTCTGTCCTCTATGCACTGACCTCCCAGGCCAGAGGTCACCAGAGCAGCTCTCCTCTCCCCTTCTACCATGAAGTCTCTGTGTGAGAGCCACACACACCATTTATGGAGCCCATACTATGTGCTGGACCCTATATAACTTGCTGAGGATACAACAAATCTGGTGGTGGAAACAGACATGTACTGCAGTCTAGTAGGAAGTGCTGTGATGGAGGCATAAACAAAAGGAGCCAGAGCTCAGAAGACTTCCTGGAAGAAGCAACATTGGAACTGGGTCTTCAGTGATAAGTAGAAGATGGCACACAAATAGAATAGATAAGTAGAATCCTATCTAATAAAAGAGCAATGTGCAAATTGACTGTCACTCCAACACACAAGATGGCTGCCCCCATGTGGACACAAAATGGCCACCACAAGATGACCTGCAGGGGAGGACAGTTGGGGGAGACCAGGCCTGCAGGGAGGACAGTTGGGGGAGACCAGGCCTGCAGGGAAGGGCAGTTGGTGGCAACCAGGCCTGCAGGGGAGCAGGTAGGTGTTGATCAGGCTGGCAGGGGAGTGTTTTGGGGGTGATCAGGCTGGCAGTCAGTTCAGTTAGGGGCAATCAGGCAGGCAGGCAGGTGAATAGTTGGGAGCCAACAGTCCTGGATTGTGAGAGGGATGTCCGACTGCCCATTTAGGCCCAATCCCTCAAAGGGTCCCAGATTGGAGAGGTGCAGGCTGGGCTGAGGGCCACACACACACACATAAACACACACACACACACACACACACACACACATGTGCACGAATCTTGTGCACTGGGCCTCTAGCAGTTAATAAAACAAACACACACAAAGGGGAAAGAACATGCTAGGCAGATGGATCAGTATGTGCATAGACAAAGGCAGGAAAGCGCAGGGTGAATTTGGGAAAGTACTAGCGGTCTATGTGATCAGGTGCACAGGAGAGGTGGCAGAGAGTGGCCAGGGAGGGAGACAAGGTCTGACCCCCATGGGTTAAATGCCACCCACAAGGAATCAGAACTTGACCCTGGCAGTGATGGTAAGGAAGGGAAAGTTCTAAGAGGAGAGTGGCATAGCCATAATTGCACTTTAGAAAGGCCACTCGGACCCAGAGTTAGGCTGGAATACAGGAAGACACTGGAGGCAAGGAGACCAGGCTTACCAGTATATTGACAGGCTTATATTGAAGCAACACAGCAACAGCAGTAGAGGAAAGAGAAAGGAAAAGACATGTTGAGAGATTTAGAGGGGTAAAAATGACAGGTGTCCTCACCATCTGAACATGAGGTGAAGGGAGAGGGAGAAGCTTAGGCTGACACCCAGGTTTCTGGCTTAGGTAACTGGGAGAAAGGCAATAGAGAGAGGTAAGCAACGATAGAGCAGAATTTGGGTTAAGGTTGAGTCTGAGGCACAAGATTCCTGATTAGACAAACCAATAGGTAATTGTAAATAGAGGCATTGAAAGAGGTCTGGGTGGGAGAAATATATGTGGAAGCATCCACATACAGCTGGTAGTTGGATCCATGGGTAAGGATGGGGCACCCAGCAGAAGACTGGGCACTGGGTGGGATAAGGGATAGGCCAGTGATCTCCACCTCCATCCCACCTGTTAAGAATTCCAGAGAACATTACTGATCCTCAAAACCCCTCATCCCACAGAAAGGAACTAAGACTTGGACCCCTGGTATTTCCTGGGGCAGGGACAGCACAGGAAGGATGCTCCATTACAGCTCCCTTTTCGGAAACATGTCCATCTCATTACTACTCCTTACCACGTAGGGGACATGTCTCAGAGCCCATCCTCTCTTGCTATAAATGGCAGGGCTGCCTGCCCTTACTTCCTGGACTCCTGGGCTAGGAGCCTGTGTGCTCTGGATGGAATGTTCCAAGAGGTGGGGAGGGGCTGACAGTGGCCCCACAATGTCCAGGCATCTGCAGCTTCCCCTGAATTATATTTTTCCAGGGAGTTCTGAGGGAAGATGGCATTGGAAGCTATCTGACCTTGCCTTGCTTCCTGTGGCCTGGCATCCTGATGATGGCACTCAAGACAACCTGTCCTGCCCACCTCACCTAAGCCCTGCTCAAACACCCCAACAGGCCCTGAGACCCATGGGCCCACCCACTACACAGTGCCCACATGGGATCAGACAGGCAGGAGGCAGCTCACGGCGCTTTTTTCTGTTTGTTTTATTTGAAAACCCTCAGGTGTGTCCCCTCCCTCACCACACCCATTCCCCTACCGCCACCCCAGAACATGACAATGCCACACATACACACACACACACACAAGGCTGTGAGCTGCACATGGAACACAGGGGCTGTGCTCACGTCAACATGAAAAAATATACATTATATATAATACATCGGGGCCCCTACTCCCACCCCCACCCCCACAACCTAGCCATGACCGAGTCATGTAGGAAGGGGAAGAGGAAGGTGCTGTAGGACTTCACACAAGGACAGGAGAAAAAAGAGGACAACAAAGGAAGGAAAGTGGCTGCAGTAAAGAAGCAGGGGTCCCCAGAGTGAAACGGACAGAAGTGGGGGATCATAAGAGAAGCAGGAAGGCCCCATGGCTGGAACTGGGGGGAGGAAGGCTCATGGACAGGAGAGGAGAGAAGTGTGGAGTAGAGGGTTCCTTCAATCCCACCGCTGGCCCTTGCTATCTTCCCCCCACCCTCCAATACAGAACATGGTTATTGGGGGGAGAGACAGAGACATGGATGATCTAGGGCAGTGTTTCCCAAACTTTTGACATATGTGTACCCCTTCTATAATTTTCGTAATGCTGAGTACCCCTCGTACTCATAAGAATGTAGAATTAGGCGCAGCTAAGCACAGTGCAATGCATATCCCCACCAAACTCCGGTGCAACGCGTACCCCCACCAAACTCTTCCCGTACCCCTGGGGGTATGCGTATCACACTTTGGGAAACACTGATCTAGGGGAAGGCTGCTCTAAAGGGCAGAAAATGCAGCCAGAGTCTTCCACTCTGGGTAGCGGGGGAGCCCAGAGGCATGGGAGCAAGGTGGGCAGGGGGGGGAGAGGATGGGGATGGTAGACTCCAGTGGGGCCAACTGGAATTTTGATATTAAAGGATGGCTCCAGCTCTCTCCCTCGCAAGTCTCTCTTCTCTCAGAATGTCATCCTCTCTTTTCTGAGAGTGTCTCTGTCTCACCAGGGCAGAATTCTACCTCTCTCTCTCTGGCTCTCTCTCTCTCTCTCTCTCTGTTTAGGGAGGGGTGTAGGCCTTAGTAGCGGTGTGGGGGGGTCTCAATGATGCGTCTCTCATCACTGCTGGGTGAGTCAGCTGCCTCTGAGTCACTGCTGTCCTCATCCTCCTGCTGGCCACCGGCAGTCCCCGCCACACAGGCTTGCCGATTCTGGTAGGACTGGGGAAGGCAGGAGTGGAGAAGAGAGGGGCTCAGTGACCTGACACACCCAGAGCCTCTCAGCCTCCCTTAGTCTCCTTCCCTCACCCCTCTCCCACCTCCTTCCCTTGTACAAGCCTTTCTCCTTTCTACTCAGAGGCTATGCCCAGAGCTTTCCCCCCAGCCATTCCTTAGAGGTCTTCGCTGTATATGCTGCAGCTGAATCTCGACCCTTCAGGCCTCCCCACTCCCCAGGGCCACTCACCTCCATGGGGTTCACGATGATGGTGAGAGCAGAGTCATCCCAGAAGAGGTCGGGGTCCTTGGGGTCACTGGAGGCCCCTGGGGGCCCACTGGCCCCCGAGACACGGCGGTGAAGGGAGTGGATTCTCACCAGGCCCAGGATGACCATGAGCACCAGGAAGCCCACACACACCACAATGATGAGAGTCGCTGCGCTGGGGACCACTGTGGGGAGAGCATGCGGTAAGCAGATCAGGGCCAGGCCCACAGGAGGGGACTCAGCCCAGGGTCAGGGAGGGGGGTATCTCTGAATAAGAGAAGAGAAGATCCATGATGACTCAGAAGAGGAGACTACCCTGGAGACGCTAGAATAAAAATAGAGCTGGAGAGGACCAGAGACCAAGAGAGAAGCTGTCGGCAGAGTGGCTGCTGCTAGAGAGAGGGAAGGAGATATGTAAGTGAAGGCAGGGCAGGATGGGGAAGGGCTCCCAGCCCAGTGCTGTCAGGAGCAGCCCTGTTTTCAGCGAGGAGAGGGCAAGGTTTGGAACCTGCCCAGGTCATCTTCTCAGGACCACTTGGCCTAGGAATGAGCTGCTCAGTGCCCAATGAGAGGAGAGAGGCAACTATGTGAGCTTAATGGTGTGGGAGGAGAGAATGCCCAAGGCTGGGACAGGTCTAAGGGGCAAGGAGCAGCCCCTTCACTTACCCACCTGGATTGGACTCACTCCTGCTGGGTGCTGCCTCCCTCCTCCTCATGGGCTTAGGGCTCCGGGTCCTCCGGGGCCTCTGCTCCTCCCTAACCTCCCTCTGTGGTACACCCCTCCTCACTTTGGCCCTCTCATGCCTCTGGTCCTGCAGCCCCACTTTAAGGCCCAGGCTCAGGGGAGCATGGACCTTGAAGGGCAGTGAGACATTGAAGGGCATGTGGACTCTCACGTGGACCCTAGAGCTGATGGCGGAAAAGCAGATGTGCATGCACAGGTACATGCCCAGGAAGACGGTGCGGGCACACGGCCAGACAAAGGTCGCCATACACTGCACCCAAGCCAGGCCTCTGCTGGCCCACACAGCTGCCTGCACCAGCCACCTGGCAGCCTGCTCACACACCAGGGTCAATGGGATGCGTCTGAGGGTCTCCAGAAAGGCAGCGAAGAGCCACAGGTGCAGCGTCACCCAGCTCCCTGCCAGCTGGGCACACCAAGCAACCGCCTGAAGGAGGATGTAAACAGCACAGACATGGACTGCAAGGGCCACAGAGCGAGCTGCTGTGAGCACAGCCCTGCCCACCCGCTGCACACACACAAACAGCCCTCGGAGAAGCAGGAGGAGGCAGAGCTGGAGAGCCCGCAGTCCCAGGGATAGCAGTTGGAGGCAGAGACCCCACACGTGCACACCCAGGCCCAGGGCCCTCACAGGCAGCTGGGTCACTACACCCCTCGGGGTGCACATCCTGCCCGCTGTCTTTGCTCCCAGCAGCTCACCCGACCACAGAGGCTCCATGAGGCCCAGACTCTGAGCAGTCCTGTTGCTGAGGAACTATTAAATGCATGGATGTCTCTCTCTGTCTCTCTCTCTCTCTCTCTCTCTCTCTCTCTCTCTCTCTCTCTCTCTCTCTCTCCCTCCCTCCCTCACACACACACACACGTTATGTTCCGGTAACAGATAAACCTCCTGGTCCTGAGTTTACCCTCAGCCTGTAAGACTCACATGTCAAGAGACAGAGCAGAGCGCAAAAAAGCACACAGCACAGGAGCCCCACACACCCTGCTGCAGTCCCCTGCTTGCAGCAGCCAGCACACTCATGCTGCCACCACACACACCGCCACGCACTCCAGGGCCAACCAGGTGTGTGGAGAACGCCCGGTCTGAGCAGGCACTCTAGCTTCACACCTCCCTAAGGCCACCCTGATGGGTCCCTGCCAAGTTGGTCCCCGTCCTGACCCATAGCCCACTTGGAGCCACTCTCCAGCTAGAGCTGACTCTGCCTAGCAGGGCAGGCAGCCTCCCTGGGCACTGGCTCCATCCAGGGCAGAGATGAGCCTGGTTGGATCTGAATTTCTCAACAGCCTGGGCATGGGGGAAGAAGAAAGAGGGAGACAGAGAAGACCTTTCTGCCCATCTGCAGGAAATAGTCCCTTCCCAAGTTGTTGGAAAATAAATCAATTTCACTAAAAAAAAAGAGATGTTGCCAGGAAGGCTGGTCAACAACCTTAATTGCTCTAACCTTTAGTTGAGATATTGTTAGCTGAAGCAGAATCTACCTTGTTTGTCCCATGAAAGTTTCTGTTATTTCCTGCCTAATGGCTACATGTAAATTTCTGTTTAGGTTGCCTAACATGGTTTCCCCAAAGTCTCAATAAAAGGGTATTGCAGGGCCAGAGCAGAGAGTAGTTCTCCCAGTAGAGTTGGATGTCTGCCTGGCCTCCCATATCGCTAAGTTGAATTTCTTCAAGTCTCAAGTCTCTTCATTTGTGTGCGGCCCTTCTCCAGAACCTGAACCCTGAATTGGAACTCTTTCTACGTGGGCCGTGAAGGAGAGTCCTATACCAAGTCTCCATGCCAATGAGCAAGATGGAGGGGAGTGGGCACCAGCTAAGCCCAGGCTCTAGAAGGAGTGGAGGCCACAGCAGGTAAACTTGCTCTGGGCACAATGACGATAAGCCAAACCTTCTGGTTTATGCCTTAATCAAACGCATTTGGTCCTTTGAGACTCCAGCCTGGCAAAGGAAATCGCAAGTTGATTGCCAGGACTAAGAAATGATGCAGGAAAGATAAAATTCCAGCACTCTATTGATAGGCCAATGAGCATGGTTCATTAGTTTAAAATGAGCAAAGGAGGCCAGGGAAATGGGAGGATTTTTAAATGAGCTACAGACAAAAATCAAGAGTTTTAACAATGAAGCAACCTTTCTTGCTGCATTAGATCTGAGCAGTCACTTCTGGCTTTCAATGACCTCCATAGTCAATCTGAAAGGGTGTTTTAGCAAATAGCCCATGTGAACTCCTGGCTTCAACTGATGGTGAGGACACTGTGGAGAGCCCTGTCCACAGCTCTGCATGCCCCCTCTGTGAAGACCATCAGGAGAAACCTCTTTCTGCCCTTGGTCCCAGGGCTTCTCCTGAAATTCTGCTTGGCTCCTATCCTATGACCTTCATAACTTCTCAGGTTCCTCTTTGCTTTAGCGACAAGGAAGTTCAGAGTCAGTATTTGACCCACTCTCATAACTGCAGTCTCCGAGTATTTTATGAACTGGTTTAATCTTATTCTTCTTTCACCTTTGTCCTTTCCGCCGCACTTCCTAATACATTTTCTACCTTTATCCTATTACATTGTAGGTCTTTCTGAAAAGCCTTGTAGGAAACAAAGTAGGGAAATGGCTCCCAAACCTTGCTGCACACTGGAATCACTTAAGAATCTTTGAACCGAAACCAGTTTGGCTCAGTGGATAGAGCGTCATCCTGCAGACTGCAAGGTCCTAGGTTTGATTCCAGTTAAGGGCACACATACCTTGATTACGGGCATATCCCCAAAAGGGGGTGTGCAGGAGACAGCTGATCGATGTTTCTAACTCTCTATCCCTCTCCCTTTCTCTCTGTAAAAAAAATCAATAAAATATATTTTTAAAATTAAAAATATTTTTTGAAAACCCTGATGCCTGGCTCCCACTGCCGGCCATTCTGATTTAACTGGTCTGGAGTGTAACCTAGGCACCAAACGTGTTTACAGCTCCCCAAGTGATACTGAGAAGCATCACACTTTTGGATGACTAGATAAATACTATCTTCATCATTCTGTCTCACCATTCTCAGACAACCATATTCTCCCTAATCCAAATTGCCCTAAACCACCCACCCACCCCCACTATTCAAATTCTCATCCTCTCTCATAGCCACACAAAATTCCTTCTATCCTTCAAAGTTGAAGTTCAAACTCTATGTGCACCACAAAACATTCCCTGACTGCCCCCCTTCACACGGATCTGTTTTCTGATGTACTTGAGAACTTCAGGGAAATCCACCTCCTGTCTCTTTGGAGGAAACGGTATCTCTCACTGCTTCTGCCTGGCTAGAGGAATTTGACATTGCAAAGCCTTAATTCTATAATACCACTCTTGGGATTGGGTGGGGGAAGAGATGGATTGCCTTGAGGCAGGTTTTATGAAGTGGATCTCCTGGTAAGCTCAGGAGATGTTACCGCCAATGACCCCAGGTGAACTAGAAACTCTGCACAATTCTCAACCCAAAATAAAGGGGAAAGCAAGAGCAGGTTGCGGTTCTCAGGTAGGATCTCAGAGCAAGCTTGGTTGGCCTGCACATCAGCTCAGAACAGTGGATGGGAAGGTGAATAAGGACGATACTTACCCTGGAGCACTGCCAGCTGGGGAGGGGGTGGGAGAGGGGAGGAAGCGCTGGCATAGTTAGAGAGGGACCTCCCCTGGGACCTCATGCCACAGAAAACAAAGACTGAAAAATCTCACCCAGCAACAATGCCAACAAAGATTTAGATTGAGCTTAATCTGTGTAGCAGGACCCAGTATCTAATCCAGACAAGGTGGAGTGGGCCAATTCAGGGGAAAGAACTGGAGAAAGAGCTAGGGAATCATGATAAGAAGAAAGACATTGGCCCTGAGGGTTTATGGAAACAATCACGTCTCTCTACCAACTAAAGGCTGAGGGAAGCCTGTCCAGCATGGCTCAGTGGTTGAGCACTGACCTGTGAACCAAGAAGTCATGGCTCGATTCCCAGTCAGGGCACATGCCCGGGTTGTGGGCTCCGTCCCCCGTGTGGGACTTGCAGGAAGCAGCCGATCAATGATTCTCTGCCATCATTCATGTTTCTCTCTCTCTCTCCCTATCCCCTCCTCTCTGAAATCAATAAAAAATAAAAATAAATAAATAAATAAAATAAAAACCAGTGAAGCTTCTTGGAACCTCTGCAACTTGGTTATGCCTTATACTCCCTCCTCATCCCTAGTTCCACCTGCTCGGCCACAGTGTCAGAGTAAAACACTTAAAAAGGTTTCTGCAGAAGAAAGAAGGGAGGCAGTACCAGGGATAGCAATACACAAACGATAGTGTAGCAGTGGCCACTGCCCACGGCAAAAAAGCCAGACTGAGTAAGAAGCTCTGGGAAGCCCTAGAAAGTATTGAGGCTGCTGAAACCACTTTGGCTCAGTGGTAGAGCGTAAGGACTGAAAGGTCCCAGGTTCAATTCCGGTCAAGGGCATGTACATTGCTTGCGGGCACATCCCTGGTAGGGGGTGTGCAAGAGGCAGCTGGTGGATGTTTCTCTCTCATCGATGTTTCTAGCTCTCTCTCTCTCCCTTCCTCTCTGTAAAAAATCAATAAAATATTTTAAATAAATAAATAAATAAAATGTTCAATCTTTAAAAAGAAAAAGAAAGTATTGAGGCTAATAATAGTGTGTGTGTGTGTGTGTGTGTGTGTTTAAGCATATAATATAAATGGAGAGAGTATGAAGTGCACAGGCTCTGGATTGCTGCCTGGATTTTAATCGTGGCTCCATCACTTTCTTAGGGTGTGATCTTAGCAAAGTCTTTAACCTCTCAGGGCTTCCTTCCCCTGCCTTTAAAGGGGATAATTCTCGTACCTATTTCATTTGCTGTGTGTAAGGCCCAAATGAGTTAATATGTGTAAAAGCCCAAAAGCATAGTGCCTGGCACACATGGATGTGGTTGCCGTTCTTCTGACTGAATGCATTGAAGGGAGTGCGGTACTTTCAGGGCAGTGCTCACTGACAACTTCTTCCCACAAAGCATTCTTAGAACCCCTTAAGGAATTGCCTTCACAGCCTATGATACACCTTTTGACATTTTTTTTCAAAAGTGACAAATCTGTGCCCTTTGAGATTGGGTTTAATGTTTAAAAATGCAAAATGACATCCATGCCAACTCTGACAAAACTGGATGGTGAAGTTGGGTAATACTGAACTGGGCCAAAAGCATGGTGCATCCAAAAACATAAAATAAAATAAGTGCAACCTCCTCAATTGGTTTTGAAAGCAATCAAAAAGGGGGTTTAAAAACCATTTTTAGCACTATCAGAGTAATTTTGCAGTTTTTAAAATGTGGGGAAGACTCATTTTATAATATTTGGTATAAATCTCAAGTTGCAAAATAATAGGATCCAAACTTTGTAAAAAAGGGGGGGAAATGGGGATAGAAAAAAAACTGGCACATAAAAAAAAAACTTATTAAAATGGTTTCCTCTCTGTGATAGAATCATGGCTGGGTTTTCTTCTTTACACTTGCAGTTTCTGGTTTCTCTGCTATTAAGCAATTCTTACTAGTACATGGGAATTTAGAGATTGTGTCACTGGTGAAGGACCATAGCCAAGGCGATTGCTTTGAAGGGCGGCACCTCGCCGAAACCGGTTTGGCTCAATGGATAGAGCGTAGGCTTGGGGACTGAAGGGTCCCAGGTTCGATTCCGGTCAAGGTCATGTACCTTGGTTGTGGGCATATCCCCAGTAGGGAGTGTGCAAGAGGCAGCTGATAGATGACTCTCTCTCATCGATGTTTCTAACTATCTCTCTCCCTTCCTCTCTGGTCAAAATCAATAAAATATATTTAAAAAAAAAAAAATGAAGGGCGGCACCTCATCTGCATGTTTACCCACGAGCTCATTTTGATTTAGAAACAGTCTTATGACTTTGTCCATAGCACGTGATTACACATGTCATAGTGCCAACTTTCCCCTGGGGGATAGGAACAGTATCCTGTAATTCTTTTAGATTCCTAATGGTACTTTAGGACAGTGTTGACTTAATAATACTTGATAACTTCACTATCCAGGTTCCCTGGGTCCGGGGCTTACGGATATTGTTGTGGGAGGGCAGCAGGAACAACAAAGGGTTGGCCTACCCCCTCACTGACTTCATGATTCCTAGCACGAGTGTCCCCGCAATGACACACAGGATGATCTTCACAAGGGGAAAGTGATGATCAGGGGAATAAAGGGACTGGAATACAGCCTTTAGGTACCACAAGGGAGCAGAACCCACTGCTCCACCCTGTCCGCCCCCCCTCCCTGGGGTGGAGGGGGAGGGTGCCTGTGCCCAGCCCCGTCCCCTGCCCCCTGCCCACCCCGCACAGCCTTACATACTGGAGTTTCGGTGGGAGCTGGCCAAGCTGTGTCCAGCCATCTCAGGAGGAAGCAGGTGGCCACGGTGCAGGAACTGCTGGGAGCTGAGCACGTGGCTCGGGTGGGCAACCCGGTTCATGCTGTGCAGGACGTTGACCTGGGGAGGGAGAGCTTGTTGGGCACGCACTCCTCCCCAGGTCCAACTCCACCTCCCCAAAGCCCTCTCTTAACCACTGCCCCACAGCTGCTGCTGCCCCACCCACCACTGGGGCCAGGAGTCCTCCCTGCTGTCATTTCCATTCCCACCGCCTATCGGTTCAGTCCACTCCACCCTGTGGGAGGAAAGAGACTCTCTAAGTACCTCCACGATGAATTCATTGCTGGAGTAACGACCATTCATTTCTGAGCAGGAAAGCCGGAATTTCCTGGCATAGAGGGCAGCTCCGTGCCGCAGCCTATAATGAGCCTGCCTCAGGATCTCTTCATACACAGTGATGCTCTCCACCCCTGGAGGACGAGCAAGCAGCTCAGTGCGGGAGCCAGGGAAGAGGCCCAGGGCGGACTCTCTCTCTGACTCCCACCAGCCTAGAGTGGGTTTCTCCACCCTTCAACAGGAGTTCTCAGAGGAAGCAATGTCCCTTCTGCTCCCTCCCCAAGCTGGCTCTAATGGACTGGAATGGGCTGCATTTCCTGCTCTGGTTTCCTCTCTAATGCTCTGTGGCTTCTGAGTAGGGATGGAGAGAAGAAAACCAGGGCCTTCTGCAGCACATTAAGGAGGTGGCAAGCAGGAGAGAAACAGAGAGAGGAGGAAATACAGAAATGACCAGGGAGGCTCTGGAAGGGACTGGGAATGGGAGGAGACTGGTGATGCCAATCAGCTTCCATCCTCCCTTATGGAGGACCCTTTGGAGAAGACCAGGCTTCCTTTGGAAGTTTCCAAATCATTCCCTCTTGTTAGATGACCTCCTAACAGAAAGCTATGCTGTTTACATAAGATGAGTGAGATGGAAGGGACACAGGATGGCTGATATCAAACAGCTAGAGAATTAGGAAGCTGGTCAAAGAAGGCTTGGCCAAAGGAGAGGTGGAGGTGAGCCAGGCTGTAGAAAGAAGAGGGAGAAAGGACTATTGGAGCCTAACCCTCAGTACATCTCCTCCAGGGTCAATCTAGAAGCCAAACAATTTTCCAGGCTGGGAAGATGTGAAATGTCACTTGGCCACAACCCTGGACCTGAAAGGGGGACCCTCTGGACTTCCCAGGACTTGGTCATGGGGAAGAGAACACACAGAAAAAGAGGAGAGGCTCTCGGGCCCCACTGACCAGCAATGGTGATGTAGGCAGACGTGTTGGTGAGCTCCAGCCCTCGCTGCTGCAAGGATGCCATGTCCAAGAGCAGGCTTTCCCGCTCTGGGTCTAGGTCATCCCCCACCAGAGAAATCTCACAGCCGTCCAGGTTGTGCACAATCTCATCCGACATGCGTGTATCTGTCACTGTATTGGAGAGAGTTAGGGTCTGGGTCAGAGTGAGGCCCACCTCATGGCCACTCTTCCTTCCCTTCCAGGGTCATTCCCTGGAAGTCAGCTTCATTTTCAAGGACCCCATTACCCAACAATTTCCATCCACCTGTGAGCCTCCTACTACTGGCTCTTCTTCCTAATGGTAAGTGGTTCTAGTCAAGGAAATGCAGGATGAAGTTGCTGCTCGCATCCAGTCCCAGATTTTCTCCCTCGCTCTGGTGCCAGACCGGGACCCTCCTCGGGATGATCTCACTCCCTGGGGTCATCCTTACCTGTTCCCTGCCAACTCTCATCTTTTTTGGCCTCCACCTGGTGAGAAATGGAGCAAGTGATTTGAAGATCTGGGAACAGAGCCACCCCCTCGGATCCCTCGAAGTCCACAGCTGGGCGGGCAAAGTGAGCAGTGCCACTCAGCAGGATCTGGGGGGCATCGGGCTGGAGGACAACCACATAGCCCTCAACTTCGGGGATGGAGACGCAAGACTCTTCACTGAAGCACCTATGTGAGAAATGGGGAGAGGCAGCTATGACCCCAAGACCCCCTCCCTTAGAATCTATATTCTGTTTCATCCCTCTGGGCCTCCACCTCTACATAGAGCAGCCCATGTGGTGAGGAGAGGAAAGGGGGATAGTGTCTCTACATCACTACCATTACCCCCTCTAGTAGAGCTGAAGAGAGAGATACTGTCTCTCATGAAGATGCTACTATAAGAAAGATCAAAGGCAGAAAGTCAGGCAACCCTAACCTAAAGGGATGACCACATCAACAAAGTCTTATCCCAAAATTATGGAACTTCTGGCAAACTTGTATTTTACAAGCTGAGCTTACAGAAATGTACATAACACACAGTTCTTTATCCAAGAGGTGTTTTTCTTTTTCTTTTTTTAAAAATATATTTCATTGATTTTTTTTATATAGACAGGAAGGGAGAGGGATAGAGAGTTAGAAATATCAATAAGAGGGAAACATCAATCAGCTGCCTCCTGCACACACTCCACTGGGTATGTGCCCAGACAAGGTACATGCCCTTGACTGGAATCGAACCTGAGACCCTTGAGTCCGCAGGCCAATGATCTAACCAATAAGCCAAACTGGCTAGGGCCAAGAGGTGTTTTTCTTAAAGTGTGTTTAGTATAATATCTGCAGATATATGCCTCAAAATATTCTCCACAAAAGGAGTTGGGGCCCTATCAAAAGATGTTTGCTGTCTTGATGAGTCTTCTGTTGACTCTCTTTTAATATCAGAGTAGCACACTTTGGTAGGTGAACTAATCTGACTATCTGGGACCTGCATCCACCTTCCCATGACACCTCGCTGATCTTGGTGCCGATACAAACTCTCCCTAGAAAACTCAGCCAGGCTGAACCAACCAACGGTACAGCAGCTCAGGAAGATGCTCCCAGGAACCCCTCTCACCCAATCCTATATTCATCCTATCTAATAAAAGAGTAATATGCGAATTGACTGACACTCCAACACACAAGATGGCTACCCCCATATGGTCAAAGATGGCTGCCCCCATGTGGACACAAGATGGCCGCCACAAGATGGCCTGCAGTGAAGGGCAGTTGGGAGACCAGGCCTGAAGGGGAGGGCAGTTAGGAGTGACCAGACTGGAAAGGGAGGGCAGTTAGGAGCAATCAGGCTGGCAGGGGAGCAGTTAGGCATCAATAAGGCTGGCAGGAGAGTGGTTAGAGGGTGATCAGGCTAGCAGGCAAAAAGTGGTTAGGGGCAATCAGGAAGGCAGGCAGGTGAGCAGTTGGGAGCCAGCAATCCTGGAATGTGAGAACTGGGCCTAAAAAGGCAGTCAGACATCCCTCAAGGGGTCCAAGATTGGAGAGGGTGCAGGCTGGGCTGAGGAACACATACCCCCTGCCCCCGTGCATGAATTTTGTGCATTGGGCCTCTGGTAAATAATAATTCTCACAGCATTTGCTGGTTTATGAAGCATTTTACCCATATGACTTCATTTATCTTTTTTTCAATGCTGGAGGACAGGGATAAGAAAGCAAAGCTTTTAGGTCAAGCATCTTGGCCATATAAGAAGCACGTGTCCTAGTCAAGGCTGAAACCGCTCTTATTCTTCCAAGTCCACGATCTTCCCACTAAACTAAACCAAACCACAGCCATCATGTGGGTTCACACCACCCCAATCTATAATAATAAAAGTGTAATATGCTAATTAGCCCAGAAGTCCTTCCAGACGAAGCTGGGGCTGCGAGGGAAGCCCGGATCCTGGGTGGCCTGAAGCCTGGGTCCCAGCTGCCAGAGAGAAGCCAGTGCTGGCAGCCAGGGGAAGAAAGGCTTATTCTTGCATGAATTTTGTGTATCGGGCCTCTAGTTTATTTATAAGGAAATGTCCCCTTGAACAAGTTATCTTCAAAAAGAAGTTGCTAATTCCAGGGCAGAGCTTATGGTCCACATGCTTACCAAATGCCAACTGAATTGACTTTGCTAAGAGGACCATTATTGGTGTGCCTGAGCATACCCAGCTTGATGGTGGGAGCCAAAAGAGAGAAGGGTAGCCTCAGCCGACACAATGAGCTCAGAGCCTCTAAAGTAGGGGTGTCGAACTCAATCAGAGAAGGGGCCAAAATCTAAAATCCAGCCTAAATAGCGGGCCGAATGGTTTACTGAACAGACATAAACTGTCATTGTGATGGAAACGCAGCGGAGTGCAGTGATGACAGCGCGGTGCGGGCCACATTGCAAGGCCTGGCAGGACGGATTTGGCCCGCGGGCCTTGTGTTTGACACATGTGCTCTAAAGGGACCAATGCCCACAGCTTACCGAACTCCAGTGCCATAGGAAGCAGGGCCTACAACAGTTTACAGAGAGGAAGGGAAAGGTATAGAGAGCTAGAAACATTGATGAGAGAGAAACATCAATCAGCTGCCTCTTGCACACCCCCTACTAGGGATGTGCCCGCAACCAAGGTACATGCCCTTGACCGGATTCAAACCTGAGACCTTTCAGTCTGCAGGCCGACGCTCTACCCACCGAGCCAAACCGGTTTCGGCTAGCTCTCTTTCTTTGAGGTGTTGAAAAACTTCTAGATAGAGATTATAGCAAGCTGGTAGAAATTCAAGAGCTATGGGGGAAAGGACAAAGCTAGAGAAAAAGATGGGGTAGCATCTTTCTAGATGGGCTTTCCTAGAAAGAGGTTAAAAAAATAATAATGACTGAATAGTTGTATTAACCTGGCTTTAAGAGGCCCGAGAACTGAACGCTGGAAGTTAGGGAAGCCACCTGAACTAGGGCAAGGATATGCGCCAGAGAAAAGGAAGTGCTGTGGTAGGTATCTGTGTCTCCCTGTTTTCTCATTCATACATGCGCACAAATGCACAGCCTCTATATTTTCTCCCACAACCTCAAGAAAGTATTAGGGCAGCACTAACCAACCATATGGAAGCACTAAAACTGGAGAAATGAGAGTTCATTCTTTCTTAACCTCAGAAAGAAAACAACTGTACTAAAGGATCAATGTCAGCTCCCAGCCCTTGCATAAGCTCTTCTCTGGGCAAGACAGAGGTTGGAGGGATTCAGATAAGCCCATCGACAAAGGGGATGTCAAGCTCCTCACCCTGTGGTACTACGCTTGCAGAGCTCCACCCTGAGCTAAGAGACAGCCCTCCCTTCTAACTTGGTCTTTGGCTGACTGAGGAGAATTAAGCCCTTCTTAACTGGGTGACAGCCCTCTAACTAAAACATGGGTTCTGACTAAAACATGATGGGACACATCCTCAGCTCTGATCTGTGCCCACATGACTTCATTCACCTGTGGCCTTCAACTCCACATCGTGACCACACCACCGACCAGCAGCCAGACTCCCCAAAGCCTCTGCCCCTGCCTTCCACTGCTCTAATTGTGAGGCCTGATCGTTACACCCCGTCACTGCCTAGGGCTCAGACCTCTCACATCTCTAAACCCACTCCCCTCAAGACAGGGACAAGTCAGCGGTGTTAACCTTCATTCAGTTTGTGGAGAAACTGAGGCAGAGTAAAGAAGAGAATGCTTACACAAGAATCCGGACTCCTACATTGTGTGATCCACCCACTAGATGGAAGTATATCCTAAAAACTGCCCCATAAACATACTAAGGGGTGAAAATGCCCGTATAGTAAGAGCTAAGTAGAGTAGGCATTCTATCAGGCATTTAATCTGGATTATATCATTTAGTTATAACAATTCCATGAGTTACATTCTATTGTTATCCTTGCTTTATCCTTTCGCATTTGTTCAATGTGAAAAAGCTAGTAATAGACTCTGTCCATAACTATTATGCTTTCATTACCTCTCTGTATTTTTAAAACTGTAAATCTGTATTTTTAAACACCAAATACACTTAAACCTGGAAGTAATGTATAATTTTTTAATGATTTCAAAATAATTCACTTAAAATGCAAAGGTCAACAAGCTTTTTTCTGTGAAGGGCCGGGCAGAAAATATTTTCAGCTTTTTGGCCATACAATCTCTGTCCCAACTACTCAGCCTGCCACCACAGTGGAAAAGCAGCCATAAATAATATGCAGATAGAAGGACATGGCTGTGTTCTAATAAAACTTTATTTACAAAAACAGGCAGCAGGCCAGATTGAGACTTAGATCATCCAATTTGACCTTGCAAGAGCTTGATGAATCAAGGACAAAATAGGTGAAGCAACTTGAGCTATTCGCCTAATACCTTCAAAGCAATGAGTATTGAGTCAGAATTAATATCAGCTCTCCCAGATCCCAATCCAGTTCCTTCCCTGTCTCACTTTAAGAATCAGCAGAGATATGTGACTGACTCCCACCTCCTGCGTTTCAGTGAGAGGCACCGAGAAAGTTTAAATCTCTCAAGTCCTGGAAGTGTGGAAAGAGTAATATACATCAGTTGCTGGGAAATCAGTCTAGTCCAGGCTATGTCAACCAAGCAGGTCAAGTGTCCTCTCCCCATCCATTAAGTGAATTACCCTGACAGCCTGTGCCTACTCTGTGATTTGCCCACCCCACCCCACACTCACTTGACGGCAGTGGTGAGGCGCAGGGGCCTGACGCCAGGCGTGGCAAAGCGCAGAGTGTTCATGTAAGCCACATGCTGCAGGGCATGGTTGAAGGTCTCCACATCATCCCCCTCCAGGGTGAGCAGGGACTGCGAGGGGTTCACGTGGACCTGGGTCCCAGACACAGACACAGTTGAGAGCAAGGCCCAGGAGGGAAGAGAGGAAGGGAGCCGAGGTAGAAAGGTGGGACAAGGTTGGAGGACTGGGGGGGAAGGGGGGCATGTCTGGAAGGAGTGGGCTGGAGGAAGGGGATATACCTTCATGCCTTTGCCCAGGCTCTCGAAATCCCTATAGTCCAGCCCCTCCCGACATGCATAGAGGCACTCGATGACCTCACGGCTCTCCAGGCGGCCTGAGCGCACGCTGAAACCAGCCAGGTAGCCATGAAAGTAGTGGTGGATCGGCAAGGGGTCTCCTAGGGCAGGAACACAGGGGCAGACGGGAGGTGAGAAGAAAGGAGGAATACAACAAGGAAAGGGACTAAGGGACTAAGGGAAAGGGAGAAGAAAGAAAGCGCAGAAAGCTCGGGAAAGAAAATTCAAAGGAGAAAGGTGGAAACTAAAAGATGGAAAGAAGAGAGATGTGAGAGAAATGAGGCTACATGGGAGAGACTGGAGAAGGCAGAGAGAGAGTTATAATAATAAAAGCATAATATGTTAATTAGACTGGACATTCTTCCGGATGAAGCCCAGGCCGAAAGGGCTAGGCAAGCCACTGCAGGTGCGAGGGCCAAGCCCCTTGTACGAATTTCATGCATCGGGCCTTTAGTACAGAATAAAACAAGGGGAGAAAAGGATGAAAAATAGAAGCAACAGAAATGAGAAAAGCTTCCAGGACAGGGAAAAAGGGAAGAAGAAAAGCAAGACCCAGGGAGGAAAGAGGAGACACAACGAGGAAAAGGAGGAGACTGGTAGAGAGGGCATCTTTAGAAGCATGCAAGGAGACCAGGGTGAATGTGTGTGAGCTTCACAGATGCTCAGATCCTCCTGTGTGAACGACTCCCACCTCCTGCGTCTCAGCGAGAGAGACCCTTCACTTCATTCTGTAGGCAGGATGGGACACCCAGAATCCATCTGGCCTGTCACCAGGGAAACCCTACCTTGCTGTAGTTCTCAGAGGCTCTGCCCCCCGGTGGCATGGGAAGCATAACTAACAAGGCTGAACAGGATTTGGTGTGGAAAAAGGGAGTGCAGAACAGAAAGTTAAGGTGAGAACTCTCTGGTCTCCAGTTCTTACACACAGAGTACCTGGTGTGGCATCCGTACTGTTGTCTCCACCTTTTTCTTTCTCCTTGTTCTTCTCCTCTGGAGGAGGGGAAAAAAGTGGCAGTGAGCTCAAAGTTATAAGGACAGAATGACAGAGAGGAAGAAGAGGTCTTCCCTGCTCTGACCTGCCCTTATAGGACTTGCAACCTCTTTATTTACTGATGAGAGAGAGAGAGAGAGAGAGAGAGAGAGAGAGAGAGAGAGAGAGAGAGAGAGAGAGAGAGAGAGAACGATTTATTGTTCCACTTATTTATGTATTCACTAGAGTCCCGGTGCGTAAAAGTCATGCACTGGGGGAAAGGGATCCCTCAGCCTGGCCTGTGCCCTCTTGCACTCCAGGAGTCTCAGGGGTGTCTGACTGATGGCTTAGGTCCTCTCTCCATGGAGAGTGGGCCTAAGCCATCAGTCAGACATCTTTAGCGCAGACACAGAAGCAGGAGAGGTTCCTGCCACTGCCACTGCACTTGCCAGCCATGAGCCCGGCTTCTGGCTGAGCAGTGCTCCCCCTGTGGGAGCACACTGACCACCAGGGTGCAGCTCCTGCATTGAGCATCTGCCCTCTTGTGGTCAGTGCACATCATAGCAACCAGTCAGTCCATTGTTCCACCACTAGATTGATTTGCATATTAGCTTTTTATTATACAGGATTGGTTGTTTCTTGGATATGCTACCGGGGATCAAACCTGCAACCTTGGTGTATTGGGACAACCAACTGAGCTACCCAGCCACGGCCCCAACCCTTTTTTTGTCATATCTTAATCCCTCCAGCCTCTAGTATAGACAAACCCCCAAATATGTTGCTGAGGAAACACAAGGGTTCTGGTAAGACAGACCGACACACACACTCTCCCAGAAGGAAAAAAAATAAGTGAAAGAAAAACTTCAAGTTGGAAGATTGATGACTCTCTGAAGGGTTACTGCCCTCCAACAGGGTAAAGGGCTGTGGAAATCATGTTCACTGTGATGGGACAGAGTGAAAAGTGGCTGAAGTGACAGAAAGATTCCCAGGATGCCTGAGAAGGAAATTTTTCCAACTCAGAGGTGGTGACCAGTGGGATAGGTAGGGGATATAGGGGGCTGTGGTGTCCACTGGAGATCTTTTTGAGTCACCCTGCCCAACTGCACGAAGTCAGGCTGTCCTTGCTCCTTCACCAATCCTAAGCCACTAGGCTCCAACCTTCAGTGTCTCCACGGAGCAACTCAGGGACTTACCAGTCCAGCAGGCCCCGATCATGAGAGCAGGCTCCTTTCGGGGTGGGTGGATGAGACCATTGTCATGGATGAGAGCAGGGTCAAAGGAGATGCCATCAGCATAGAGTGTGACTGTGGGGAACTCAAGGTTCAAAGCATAGTGGTGCCACTCGTCATCGCAGACCTGGCGGAATAGGATAGGGGTATGTTCCCTCAGTGACTTCATCTTCAGGGAACTAACACAAGGCACTGCCCCTTCTCCTGAGACTCAAGGGACAATCCCTACCCTGTTTCCCCGAAAATAGGACAGTGTCTTATATTAATTTTTTCTCCCAAAGTTGCGCTAGGTCTTATTTTCAGGGGATGTCTTATCTTTCCATGCGCTAGGTCTTATTTTCGGAGGATGTCTTATTTTCGGGGAAACACAGTAGTATTCCCAGTTCTATCATCAGGACTTACTAGGGAATTATTGGCTACCCAGTTCAAGGAATAGCATCCTTGTGCAAAATCTATTAGGCAGCCAACCTAATACCTAAAATTCCACTCTTCAGGTAAATCGTTAAAACTATAAACATTTCTAAGAGGAGTAACATGCTATTTTATGAATTAATTTTCCCAAAATAATTTATGCTTAGAACATAACAAATTCTTTCCTACTTCAGGGCTTTTACATCTGTTTCTTCTCTACCAGTCCCATCCTACAGGACTAAGCTTACATCTCTCCTCAGTCACCTTCCCCGGACATCCAATGTAAGGTAAGTTCCCCCATCTTTGCCTTCCCCTTTTTCCTACTTCAGTACCTTACTCTTTCAGAGCATTTATCACAATTTATCATTTTTATATGTCTGCTTACTTTCTAAAAATATCTCCAACTAAAATGTAACCTTAATAAAGGCAAAGACTTTGTTCCATCTCATATTCTGTTGTATCCCCAGAATCTAGCAGATTAACAAGGACTTAATTGATATTTAATAAGTATTTGTTGAATAAATAAAAGTAAAAGAAAAATAGGAGTAATGTTACCAATATTAGCAACATGGCAGAAGATCAAGAAGTAGCAAATGGCAGACTTTCTCTTTTTTTAATAGTACCACAAAAAGCAGAAGCTTTTGTAAATAGCCCTCAACTATCCAATTTGTGGGTTTTCAGGCCCTTCATTTCCCATTCTCTCTCCTCCACTTCCTGTCTTTTTTCAGCCATTTGCTTAACCAGCCACTCCACCAGAGGTTTAATGGGTTTCCATGGGGAGATGGAAACCCATTAGTCCCCACTAGTCCTTGTGGTTAGCTTGGGGAATGCAACTGTTGGCTCAAGAGAGAAATTTACTGTTTTGTTTTGGGGGATTTGGGTCCATTTTTATTTATCCTTCATAATCACAGATAGTAACAATAAGAAATAACATGCATAGAGTCCTTTCCAGTCTATGGTCATGTGTGGAATAATGACATTTCGGTCAACAATCTATCATATATACAATGGTGGTCCTATAAGATTATAATGGAGCTAAAAAATTCCTTGTCACCTAGTGACATCATAGCTGTCATAACATCAAAGTGCAGCACATTAATCACTTGCTTGTGTTGATGCTGGTGTAAACAAGCCTACTGTGCTGCCAGTTATATATAGAATATTCTATCTAATAAAAGAGTAATATGCAAATTGACTGTCCTCCAACACACAAGATGGCTGCCCCCATGTGGACATAAGATGGCTGCCACAAGATAGCCAGCAGGGGAGGGCAGTTGGGAGGGACCAGGCCTACAAGGGAGGGCAGTTGGGGGTGATCAAGCCTGCAGAGAAGGACAGTAGTGGGGGAGGGAGACCCAGGTCTCAGGGCAGGGCAGTTAGGGGGGACCAGGCCTGCAGGAGAGGACAGTTTGGGGGGACCCAGGATTGCAGGAGAGGGTAGTTGGGAGGAGGGGACCAGAGCAGCAGGGAAGAACAATTAGGGGTGATGAGGCTAGCGGGAGAGGGCAGTTAGGGGTGACAAGGTTGGCAGGGGAGGGCAGTTGGGGGGGAACAGGCCTTCAGAGGTGAGCAGTTAGGGGCAATCGGGCTGGCAGGGGAGCAATTAGGCATCAATCAGGCTGGCATGGGAGTGGTTAGGAGGTTATCAGGCTGGCAGGCAGAAGCAGTTAGAGGCAATCAGGAAGGCAGGCAGGTGAGCAGTTGGGAGCCAGCAGTCCTGGATTGTGAGAGGGATGTCTGACTGCCCGTTTAAACTTACATAGGTACTTCATAATGATAATAAATAATTATGTTACTGGTTTATGTACTTACTATACTATATTTTTATCATTATTTCAGAGTGTAGTCTTTCTACTCATAAAAAAATTTTTTTGTAAAATAGTATTAACTGTTATGCCAGCAGCAGCCTCAGATTTCTCATGTTTATCATGGGCCTGGATTGCATCATTTTCTCTTGTGCTTGACTTAACCTAGTGTGGTTTTACACAGTAACATGCTGTATAGGCCTGTAGCCTAGGAGCAAGAGGCTATCCCATCTAGCCTATATGTGTAATCGGTTTCTGTAAGTGTACCGGTACTCTATGATGTTCACACAACAACAAAATTGCCTAACAATGCATTTCTTAGAACATATTCTGTCATTAAGCAGGGATAGCAGTATAATAAAGGTCTAGTGTGTCATTTAATCCTATAACAACTCTGAATATAGAATTCTTATATATAGAATTCTTACCATTTAATAGGTAAACAAACTGAAGTTTAGACATATTAACCAAGTTTCCAGAGCTAGTAAGTTCCCCTGGCAGAACTCAAACCCAATCTGTGTACCTCGGAATTACTTATTTTTTCAATTACAACATGCTAACTGCTTGAGAGTCAGAGACATGTACTGTTAAGGTTCTAGATCTGAAAGAGCTTAAATAAAACAAGGGGGGGGGGGAGGAAATGGTTGGTTGGGTTTGATGTTAGTAGTTTTTTGTTTCCTATTTCCTTTTAATCCAGGAGTGCTTTCTGCAGAAGACAAGCCTTGGAAATAGGAAACAAGAGAACCTAAGGGTATAAGGGTGAGGAACAGAAAGTGGAACATGAAAGAGAGGGCATGGGGCAACCAAAAAAAAAAAAAAAAACACCTCAAATCCCTGCTCTATGCTTCTTCTCCCCTGAAAGCAAGTTACCCAACTTTCTGGCACTGGCTCACCTGCTCCAGCTTCCAGAGGAACTTGACTGGGCGAGCACTCTCCAGCAGAGGCCAGTAGAGGAAGGAAATCCTGCAGCCATGCACCGTCAGTGAGTAGTGAGAGAAGCCATCCTCTGAGGGCAGAGGATAGGAATGGGAGTCAAACACAGGGCCTGGGGCAAGAACAGGTTCAAAGCACCAGAAGGGAGAGGACACTGGGTTCTCTTTGCCCTCTCATGCACTCTCTCATTCCTGCATTCACTAGTCTTCTCCCTCCAACACACACACACACACACACACACACACACACGCGTGCGCGGGCACACACACACACACACACACCTACGTCCAGTTCAGGTGATAACAAGAGCTTCTTGGGCACTCTGATTGGCTGAGGGGGACACCAGCCAGCCTGCTCCCACCCAGATCATTATTGGTCCTTTGGTTAATACAAACATCATCGGTGACAATCCTCTTCAAGTCACAATATATGACCTCAGAGAAGTGGCAGAAATGAAAGAGCATATGAAGCTGAGCCTCCTTCACTCGACCCCTAGAAGGATGTATCACACAGTTGAAGGAGGAGGCATACTTAGTGTTGGAGCCAACTAGCCCTTATAAGAGGAAAATGGGCAGAGATGGATGAGAAAGAATGGGGCACACCACCACCCAGGCCTTTCCACCATAGTGGAAGGGTTTCAATGGGAGCAGATTCAGGGGGCAGTTTATAGTGGGATGCAGAAAGACTGGGCACCCGCAAGTGAGATGGCAGAGAGCAGTCCCACTGCACTCTGAGAGCAGTAGGATCTCAACTTCTCATGTTGAGAGCCAATCAAAGAATTTCAGGAAGTATCAGACCTAGCACTGCCATCTTACAGGTGCAGCAAGAGGAAGTGGCCCATTCACAGTCACGGACTAGACAGTGATAGAGGCCAGACAAGAAGCCAGTATCCCACTCTCCGACCAGTGCCATGAGCAAGGCTCACCATTCTGGACAGTGTTACACACGATTGTTTCCTCTTCCTTCTTGCCCTTATTGGGAGTTACACCGTGCTTCATCCAGAAGGACAGGGTAAAGTGGTCACTGAGGTTGTCCTGGGGCCCTGAGCCCAGCCCTGACATGCCACTCAGGGGCACCTGCACAGCTTGGGTGCCGTTGAACCAGTAGATAAGACTGCTGTCCTGGCTGTAGTGCACCGAGAGTCCTGCCGTCCAGTTGGCATTGGGGCCAGGCATGGGCAACAGGTCCACCTCCCCAGTGGCAGCACCTGCAGGAGCCCCAGAAGGCACACATGTCAGAGCTGAGCAGCAGCAGATTGGGAACTGGGGAGTAGGCAGAGGAAGAGTGACTAATGAGAAAAAAATCTCCTACAGTTCATCTCACCACCTCTTCTGGCCTTCCAAAGACAAGAGAGGAATGGACTTCTCTTTTTTTTTATTTTTTAAAAATATATATTTTTTATTGATGTTTTACAGAGAGAAAGGGAGAAGGATAGAAAGTTAGAAACATCGATGAGAGAGAAACATCGACCAGCTGCGTCCTGCACACCCCCTAATGGGGATGTGCCCACAACTAAGATACATGCCCTTGACCGGAATCAAACCTGGGACCCTTCAGTCCGCAGGCAGGCCGAGGCTCTGTTCACTGAGCCAAACCAGTCTCAGCATGGACCTCTCTTTTAGGAATACCTCTCCAATCAACCCATTCTCCAACTTTTCCTCTCTCCCTATCATTTTCCCACAATGTATTATCTGGTGATCATTTTGTGCTACAATTATGCATCTTTGCCAACAACATATTTATTTGATCTTTGGATCACAAAAGCTAACTACATGCCACAACCCCTGTGAATATATACACATGGACAAAAGGAGATACAGTGCAGATTCTTAAAACAGAGGTAGAGGAGGGTCATGTAAAGGCTGGGTGGGGAGGGGCAGGACTAGGGGTTGGGGCTGCACACCCACCACAGAGTTTCCGCAACGCCCGCTCGGAGTAGTTGTCTCGGTCGCAGCCTTTGGCCACATGGCTGGTCTGCAGCTCTATGGTGGCCTGGATATTCCAGAGAGGTTCGTCGCAGGTCTCCAGGCGGATACCAGGGAACAAAGCCAAGCTCCCGGCGCCTGGTGCATATTCAATCCTTTTGTTCCAGCCTGCATGGGGGACAGGGAGAGGGCAGTGGAGAGACAGAAGATAAAGGCAGCCCCTCCTATCTACCCATTCTGCTCTTGCTATTCCACTGACTCATCCTCCTACAAAAATGGCTGCCCAGGGTAGACAGTTACAAGCCTGAACCTAAATACCCCTCCCCGGACTCCTAGCCTAGCTCCCAGGACTGTCAGAAGCGACGAAAAGCGAGGTGAAGGTGAAAAATGACTTGCACAATGATGAGTCACAGAGCAGGGTTCCTCACCTTGCCAGCTGGGTTTGCAGGTGGGCTTCACCTGGATCTCCACCTGGGCGTCATCTGCCGCCCGCTTCTTCCCACAGTCGTAAGCTGTCACTGTAAACTTGTAGAGCTTCTCACCGCTGTACTGCAGCTTCTCTGTGTTCTCAATGTTCCCTGGGGTTGGGGATGGGGGAGGATTGAGATGGTCAGAAGCACTAAGAAAACCTAGGGAGACAAAGGGGGCAGGGGCCTCAGGAGCTAACTAAGCGTCAGGAAGCTGAAGAGAAGGTATCTGGGGGGAAAGGGCTCCACATCTGGAAAGGAGGGTGTGCAGGGCAGAGAAGGGAATAGCTCAACCCTGGGGTGTCCTGAGGGATATGGGTGCACAAGATGGGCAGGGGCTGAACTCACCATCATTGTCAATGAGGAAGGGGGTGTTGGGCGTGAGGATCTCGTAGTAGCAGATCTGGCTGTACTGGGGGGAGCAGTCACCATCAATGGCTTCCACCCGCAGGATGCGGTCGTACAGCTTCCCCTCAGTCACTGCAGCTCGGTACAGCCGCTCCACAAACACGGGGGCAAACTCGTTCACATCATTGACACGCACATGAACAGTCGCCCTGCAGGTGCCAGAGCGGGAGAGGAGGGGAGAGAACGAGTCAGCCATCCTCATGCTGGAGACTCCAGAGAGGCACAAGCAGAAATCCAGACAGGGAATCAGAGCAGGAGGGAGGCAGTCTGTCCCTTAGCTTGGGACAGTCAGGCACCTCGAGGGAGAGGGCCCTCACGGGAACTGTGCCAAGGAAAGGATGTCTGCAGGGAGGGGTAAGAACCACCCCGGGTGACACCAACACTGATCTAGATGGCTTCTGTACAAAAAAGGTTGGGGCTGCCCAGATGAGGGGTGACAGGATTTGGGGCCCAGCAGGTCATTCCTTCACAGCAATCGGATCCAATGAGATAATCAAGGAAGACGCAGGGTAAAAGCCAAGTTAAAAACCAACCCTGGGAAAGGAAGTGGCATTTGCACAAAAGCCATGTCATCTGACATGAGCGGTACACAGAAGACGAATATTGCCTTCTGTGAACAAGTGTACAATATGCATGTCAGCTGTGCGGTGGGGGTGGAGGGGGCCCCGCACCCCACAGGGCAAGCGAAGCTCAGGCTAACCCTTTGTGCTGAGGCCTGCCCCTCGCCAAGATCCAGGCACCCAGAACCCAAGAGGCAAAGCTCTTGCCTCCAAATAGGAAACTGAGTCACAAAGAGCCGTTTATCTCCAGGGCCTCTTAGTAACCCAGGAATCCTGAAGGCCAATTTTCACCCAGTCTCACATGAGAAGTTAGCTTGGCACAAAGGAGTCCCAGGTCCCAGCCTCTCTCATGCTGTAGCCAGCCCATGCCCACCCTCACGCAGAGTGCTGTGTGTGTTAGAATGGTGAGTGTGGTCACACTGCAGATAGACAGGTGGAACGGTAGTAAGGAATCTACAGTGCTGAGTGTGCTCCTTCCTTTCCTCCTTGCTCTCCTGGTCATCGTGACGCCCATGTACTGAGCCCATTACCATCTGTCAGGCACCGTGAGGCATGCTTTTTTATACAAACCTTCTCCTTTCATCTTCACAGCAACCTTAAGACGTAGGTGACATCGTTATTTCTATTTTACAGATAAGAAAAGCAGATCCAGAAAGGCTAAGTTGCCCAAGGCCATAAGAGGCAGAGACAGGATTAGATCCTACTAAGTTCTACTATATAACTCTGTCTCCTGTCCCTAAACCCTATAAACAGAGAGGGAATAGACAGATAACATTCAATGACTGCACAGAGGGAGGGTGGTGAGGGGCTTGGAAGGAGGGAGGAGACCCTGCAGCAGGGGGCACAGGACAAGGGCTTCCTCACTTGTGGGACTTCTTGGTGTTGGCTCCATCAGGGCCCTCGCCACAGTCATAGGCCTGGATGGTGAAAGTGTGCTCCTTCTGGGCCTCGCAGTCCACTGGCTCCTTGGCCCGAATCAGCCCTTCTCCTGTTGCCTTGTCCAGGATCACAGCCTCAAAAGGCACCCCAGATCCATGGATCCGGAAGCCACAGATCTCACCTGGCCAAGGGGGCAGGGAAAGATGAGGCTCTTGCACTACCTCCAGCATTTCCTTCCAGCCTCAGTCTCTCTGCCTCAGATTCTTCTCCTCCCAAACCCAGTCCTTTTTGTGCACCTGAAGGCAATAATTACCAAGCATTCAGCTCCACGCCAGCTTTCCTGATCAACAACCTCTCAGAGGTACCAGGTCTGAGATATGGCAAAATCTTAATGCATTTAACCCCTGCCCTGCCCATGTCCTCTCTGGTTGCCTTTACTCATCAACCACCAGCTTCGATGTAGCCCTTTCTACTCCTTGAGCCAACTTCGTCTTCCACTTTCCCAGGCCTCTTTCCCACTTCCTTATTGCTCTCCCACCCAGGACCTCTCCTCTCCTCCCCTGCCCTCTACCCTCCCAACCACTTTTCTCTGTCCTACCCACCTTGCAATCCACCAATCCCAATTACCTGCATAGCGCAGGGGGGCGTCCTTGTCCAGGGCGAAGAGTGGTGGGTTCAGCAGGACCGTATTGTCATTCTCCATGACGATGCCCTGGTATTCCGCCTCAATCCATGGCTTGTGCTTGTTGGCTGAGCCCCCACCAAGGGAGAGGAGAGGAAGAACCTGTGAGCTCGCCCGCCACTCCCACAAAACCCTCATTGACTCAGACAAACTCACACTCCAATATCACTACCCTTTCCACACCCTGCAGAAGCACCTGCAGGTGGGAAAAAAAATGAGGACAAGAAATCAGCTATTAAAGGAGTCAGAAGGTCTGAGGGAAGTCACAGCCTTCTCCTATGGCAAGACAGAAAGTTTCCATGGCAACAGTCTGCCCTGAAGAGAGGGATGGGTCTTCTAACTTCTCTGGGAAACATGGTCAGAGGGTGGAGAATATTCTTTAGGGATTTCAAGTGCTGGAGAATAGAGACTGGGGAATTCAGGAAACAGTGGTGGGCCATCAGAAGGCCCTAGGGAAGGGAAGGCATAGATTAAGGGCAGAGTTGATATTAGAAAAAAGTAGATTTAGAAGTTTCCTGAGGTCCTGATGATTTATCCTCTCCATCACCACTATCACTACCCCTTTCAATCCTGATCCCTTCACTCTGCACTTCTCCCAGCCAAGCCCCAACCTAAGGCCATTCTCCCAGAGTGGAAGGAAGAGGAGGAAAGAGAGAAGAGAAAATATATAGGACAGAGGGAGGGGGACAGAGAAGGGCAGAGATAGAGCGGAGGAATCAATGCCAAATAACTGGACCCAGAAGAGCCGACATCCTAAGGGATTATCGAGCTGGCCTAGAAACAGGACAAATCTCCTTCCTGCTTCTCACCCCCACAGCCATGAGAACACAATCTATGTTCCCCCCACCAAGGTGACCAAACCCCACACTCCCTGAACCCCGCTTTTTATATAGTCTCATGACGTAGTCCAAACTCTTGCCTACTCCATCCTACTGCCCTCCAACCACCAGCCAATTCCAGATGGATGTGGGACTCACTCAGCCTCCAAATCCCCCCTATCTCCTTCCAGACTTAGCTCCACTGTGTTTCCTGCCAGGTCCAATTTCCCACTAGCCTGGTAAGAGGCTACGGGGAAAGCACAGCATGTTCCCTTCCCTTCCTCCATCACCTCCCAACCCCAGCCCCCACTGCCTGCTCTATCTAATCCTGTCATGCCAACCCTCAAGGCTCCCAAGCTCATTTATGATGGCCCATCAGCAGGCCATGGGCAGAGAAGGACATCATCCAAAAGGATGTCGCCAAAGGAAACTCGTCCCCAGAATGTCATGGTGAGCAAGAAATCCTGATATCCATTTTTCCCAGGCGATGGCTCTCCCCTGGGAGTCTCAAGCCCACTTACTGCTCCTATCCCAAAAAAGCCTTCTTGTATCTGAAAGTCTGCCCCTTTCCTCCTGATGACTACCACCTCCCCCTTCTCTAGTGGCAGAGGAGAAAGCCACAAGACGGTGCTCAGGAAGCAGCCCAGGAAATGGCAGGAGGCTAGAAAACCAGACGGAGGTCAGAGATTGAGGGGAGGCACACAGCAAGGTCAGCACTGGCACCCTCTTCACAGCTCACCCCTAACCCTGCTCCTCTCCTCTTGGCCACCAGCTCTCTCCTTGTGTCCATTTCCTTTTGCTCACACCTAGGCTCCCTGTCTTTTCCTTCCTTGACTCTCCCCCTTCCACTCCTCTCATCCGTTCTTCCTGATTTCCCTTTCATTTCTCTCTCTCCCTTTTTTTAGTCTCCACTTTTACCCTTCCCAAGCCCTTCTTATCCCCCTCCACGCCTCATCTCCCTTCTCCTTCTCAGCTTTCCCCCTCAGCACTCATTTAGCTCCCCCACACACCCACTTCTGCCCTTTCCTGCCTTTCTCCACCTACCTGAGGGCTCTTCTTCCATCCCCTCCATTTTTCCCTCCCTCTTGGTCCCTCTGTGGGCCTCACCCAGCTGAATGTATCTGCTGTCTGCCAGAGAGGGCAGCTCTGACAACTCACAACCCAGCTGCATGCAGGCATAAGGGTATAGATGCAGAGGAACACGCCAAAACATACGTGCTCCGAATTGCTGAGCTGCAATGAACAGTTTCTTCCCAGGATGGGATGGAGATGAACCCAATGGATCTGCCACACACCCTTAATGCACGCACACCCCATTGGAAATGGAGAACCACCCAGAGATGTACAACGACCCTCAGGGCAAGTCCTTCTGAGACCTGACATATCTCCAACAGGGAGAAATTGGGAGGGAGGAAGGTAGAAACCCCATGATGGGAATAGCCTATGGGTAAAGACAGACGAGGCAGGAGGATGTGATGGAGGGAGTGGGGGGTAAAGGGGGTAGTTCAAAGGAAAGAAGGGGTAAGTCTGAGAAAATGGATGGGAAGGGGAATGGTGGGAAGAAATGACACCTGTCATGTGCCAGAGAGCCTCATGGCTCCTGCTCACCTCTACCCCACCCACAGTGTTCTGCCTGATACCCCTCTTTTAGTGCCCCCCCCCACCCTACCTCACTCACCTTTGTTACAGGAGCTGGAGGGAAGAAGGGAGGCCAGCAAGAGGGGCAGCAGCAGGAGGGTCATGGTGAGGTGTGGTAAAGAGCAGGGCAGGGCCAGGCGATGGCTCTCCCCTGGGAGTCTCAAGCCCACTTACTGTTCCTTGGGGGAGGGATGCAGGGGACCTCCAAGGAGGGGAGGGAAGACAGAGGGCAGGAGGGCAGAGGCAGAAGGAGCCTGCCGCCCACACTAGTCCATGGAGCACACCTGGGCAGACCCCAACCTGGGTGGCTGAGGTGGGGGGGCTTGCAGTGGCTCGTCGTTTGCTCCCCGGCCCGGCTTCCTCGCTCTTGCGCTCTCTCTCATTCCCATCCCCTCTACTGCAGGATGACGTAAGCACGGCCAGACGAAGATTGATGAGGCCGCGGGCCAATCGGTTGGCTGGGAGGGCCAGGTGCTGCAGCGGGGGAGGGAACCAATGGGACAGGGGAGCTGGGGCGGGAGAATGCTTTCGGGCTTTTTCCCCCCCAGGATTGCAATTTGCGGGAGCTAGGGAACTGCGGGGGCTGGAGAGGAAGTTGGGAAGCCGTAGAGAGGGGGTGGGAAATAAGACGGACCTTGGGAGGATCTAGAAGCTAAAACCTCGGGGGTGGGGAACGAAGACGTCAACGGAGACCTGAGGGAGGCGAGGAGGAGCAGCACCGCGTCCCCCCCTCCCCCCCAACTCTGCATTAACCTCTTTACACAGCCCATCCCATCAGCAAGTCCCTGCTGCGTGCCTCCTGGGGACCGTGAGGTGAAACCCAAAGCCTGAACCGGAGAGATCCTAGCATTTCAGTCCCCAGCCCCAGGTCCCTCAGGAAAACACTGGTGGTCAGCAGGGCGTGGAAAGGGCTTTGGAACTGAAGGAAAAGTGAAATATCTGTGCGCACACACACACACACCCCTACCTGTGGAGGCAGTTCACCACCAGTTGTAATTTCCCCCACTGCCTACCCTCCCTGCCTTCCTCTCCCCGAATTCCTCACCTCAAACCATCATAAATCAGCCCATTGATTCTGAAGCCAGAGAAATTGGTAGGTAGGTTGTGGGGAGGGAGGGAGGCACAAAATAATCTAGGCACACCTCCACTATTGGAATACTGGTAAGCTTGGGCTGTCTGAGGGCTGAGGACTGGGGGTGAGGGGTGGGGAGTGGGGAGTGGGGGTTAGTATGTATCATCAATGACTTCACAGGGAGAAGGAAAGCCCTGGACCCCAAGCCAAAGAGTGTAAAATTCCCGGGAGAAGCCAACCAAACTCCTTCCTCACCTTCCGCTCTGGGCTCTGAGCTCCACACCTCCTCAGGCTGCCAATGGCCCCCTCTGTGCTCAGGAAGAGCAGTTTCTCCACTCCACCCCAGTGGTCTTGCAGGACAGAGTCTGGAAGGCAGCTCAGCGGAGCTGTCTAGAGGAGTTGTGGGGGCCAGCGCTATAGGATTGTCTTCACTTTGGCTCTTGGTCAGCTGGCTGTCCTCCTTCTTTCCCTCCTTCTCCCCTCCTACTTTTCAGGATCCCCCAACTCAAACCCAGGATCTCAGCATATTGTTGGAACTCATCCCTGGGTGAGCCTGGAAGAGCCCACACACTACACAGCAAGACCAGCTCCCTCCCAGGGGGACACCACCTCCCTGGAGCTCTGGAATGGTTCCCAAGCCTCCCACAAATGGGCTGGGAGCCAAACGGACCTCTGGGAAGGCTCAAGTCTTGGATGACTGACAGTCGCGGATCCTGCTCCAGGTTCCTTCCTCAGGAAAAGCCCAGGTCCGGCACAACCTTGCCAAGTCCCTCCCCCTCCTTCACGCGGCAAACGCCACCCCAAACTCATCATGAGGGGAGGGAGGAGGTCTGGTAGAGCTCTTATTGCAACAGAGCCCGGCTCTATAAAAGCCCTGGTGAGCTTAGACCTTTGCACAAGCCTGTCTCTGGGTGCGGGGCCTGACTGGAGTCTCTCCCGCCAGACAACACTCCTCCCTCCTCACCCTGTCTCCTAGAGTCAGGTCCTAAGATCTTGATCTCCATCTTGACCAGCCCGGACAATGCCCCCCAACCTCACCGGCTACTACTGCTTTGTCTCCCAGAAGAACATGGAGGACTACCTGCAAGCCCTAAGTAATGGCCTCACCCCTCCCAGACCCCTCTCGCTCCCCTTTTCCCTCTGTCTTCCTGCCTCTCCATCCCTTTGAGAAGGGGGAAGGCTGGGGTTGGACCCTGTGGAAAGGCTCAGGAGCTGGCACCTTCTCTTGGGATCCCTTTCTAGCCAGGAGTATTTCTAGGAGGGAGTGAATCAATATAGTCCAGACCCAGCTGAGAGAAAGCTCGCGGCCCCCAACAGGCTGCTGCAGGTGGGGGAACCCTGGCTAGCTGGCTGGCTAAGAGGACACCGGCTAAGAGATAATCCCCACAGACATCAACGTGGCTCTACGGAAGATAGCGCTGCTGCTCAAGCCCGATAAGGAGATTGACCACCAGGGCAGCCACATGACCGTGAAGACCCTCAGCACCTTTCGCAACTATGTCCTAGAATTCGAGGTGGGAGTTGAGTTTGAGGAGGACCTGAGGATGGTGGATGGACGAAAATGCCAGGTACCTTCCCTCAGGTTTGTGGGGAGGGGGGAAAGGGAGAGGGGGGAGGGGAGGCGGCGGTGTGGATGAGCAAGTAGGTGCTTCTTAACAATTTGGGGTAGAGCAAAATGACCTCACCCAGCCAGAGCCAGGGGGATTGACCACCATGGCATGCTGTGGAGTTCCTCGGAAACTGGCTCCTGGTGCTCCCCACTCCCACTCTCTCCCTGCCGGGATCTAATCACCAGTCAACTGGACCAAATATTTGCTTGCTCTCTCGCCTTTGACCCTATTCATCACCACAGTCTCTTTTCCCTTAGCCTCCAGAGCTTCACTCCCCTACATTTCTTTCTGCTTCTTTTTTTAAAAAATATATTTTATTGATTTTTTTACAGAAAGGAATCTAGAGGGATAGAGAGTTAGAAACATTGATGAGAGAGAAACATCGATCAGATGCCCCCTGCACACCCCCTACTGGGGATGTGCCCGCAACCAAGATACTTGCCCTTGACCGGAATCGAACCTGGGACCCTTGAGTCCTCAGGCCTAGGCTATATTCACTGAGCCAAACTGGTTAGGGCTTCTTTCTGCTTCTTACATATTCTTTTTTATCTCCTTTACAGATCCTAGTTCCCTGTTGCTTTTTATTTTTCTAATGTAGCTACTAGAACTCTTTCAATTATATATGTGGCTTACATTCCCATTATATTTCTACTGAACATTGCTGTTTCACATAGTTCTCACCTGTTCCTCCCTAGCCTTTCTCACTATCACCATCCTAACTTGTTTCTCACCTGGTACCTGAAAATAGCCCTCAATCTTAACCCTTCTTTAAACCAACCACTCTGTGTACTGAAGTCACAAGGATCTAACTTGTAAAAGTGACTATGTCACTCCCTTACTTAAACCCTTTCCATGACAATCTACTACACTCTAGATAAGGTTGTATGCTTCACACAGCACACTAGTGTCCCTCCCACATACACACTAGGTTACAGCCCCTCAGAACTGTTTGCCCTCTTTCTTACTTCTATGCTGTTACTTTCCTTGCTAGAAATTTTCCATTAGCTCCAATCTAATTAACTCCTCGATTCTTTGAAGATTCCGCTCCTCAACAGTCTTGCCTCGTATCACAGATATCTATTTATGGCTCTATCTGATCAAGATTCTGAGCTCCCTGCTGAGCAGGGTCTATCTTATAAGTATTGATTGGAATGCCCAGGCCCACCCATCCCTGAGTGTGGGAGTTTAATCCTTCATTCCCAGGGACACTTCAGCTGTCCTCAAAACTGAGAAAGAGAAGGAAAGAGATTCCTTGCTGGGACTCCCAACCTATTTCTTCTTTCCTAAAGGCCCCTTCAGCTTGACCAGAAGTATCCAGAGGACAAAGTCTCCATTCTTCATCACCCACTCCCCAATTTCACCCTTGTTATCCTGCTCCCTCCCTGCTCTGCCCTACAGTAGACAAACTGTGGGCCCCCCTCAGAGGCCTTTAGGAGTGGAGGGCAGGGATCCTAAATTGGAGCAGCCTTCTCACTCAAAATGAAGGGGCTGGAGCAAGACAGTGTCTGCTGTGGTGTGGAAGGGGACAGCCCAGCCAAAGTGAGTGGAACTGCCCCTCAGTCTTCTTTCACTCCTGCCTTGCCTGTAGACCATAGTAACCTGGGAGGAGGAGCAGCTGGTCTGTGTGCAGAAAGGGGAAGTGCCTAACCGAGGCTGGAGGCACTGGCTGGAAGGAGAGACGTTGTACCTGGTAAGCTGGGTGAGGTCTGGGGAAAGGAACCCAAATGGGCATGTCTGGAGAGGGGCCTCCAGCTAGGATTCATGCCTTTGCCCAAATCAAATAACTCTACTACTCTACCTCCTGCCCCCTCTCCAAAGAAAGCAACCAAGAAAGGGGGACAAAAGCACTGGGGAACAAAAGCACACAAAATTAAAAATAAATAAATAAAAAAGCACCGGGGAAAGTCGAGGGAGGAAAAAATAGAGTGGGATTCTGGCTACAAGTCGAATGAATGTCCATAAATCAAAATGGAGACTTCACCATTTCTCATTCCCTGACCCAGCTACCTTCCTCTGGGGTGAAAAGTTGAAGATCTGAACAATGATACAATTCCTCATGCATCAAATGCTCTAGTTGATGTATCCTGAGGATTAAATGGAGGTCAAGAACCTTGAGAAAGGACTCCAGCTGGCAAGAACTTTCTTTCTCCTCAACCTTCCTTCTTTACCCCCAGGAACTGACTGCAAGGGATGCGGTATGCGAGCAGGTCTTCAGGAAGGTCAAGTAGCCAGAGAGGAGCCGAAAGCCACTCCAGACAGCGCCAGTCCCCAGACTCCTCTTGTTTGTGTACCTTCAAGCCCAGATTGTCCCAGGTCATCAGGCCCTTTCTTATGCCCTTACCCTCCCTCTGAGTCTCTCCTCAGCCCTCCCCATGTTAATCTGTAACTTGCAGCCCCCAAGGCCAAAGTCCTTTCTTTTTCACACTCCACTGCCCAATAGTGACCTTATATCCAGTTCATGGTCTGGCCTCCTGGATGAAAGAAACAGGCAAAGGGGCAAGGACACTAGAGAATAACCAATCTCATCTCTCTTTATTTTCCATCTAAGAAAGAACTAAGTGTTGAGCATTTGAGGGTTAGTGAAAAGTCTATCCTGGAGGACCTTTTGGAACACTGTGACTGGGGTTCAAGACTTTAAGAGTCTTTTTGTCTATGTCCTTGTCCTTATTTTGGAGAAAGCCTCATATGCTCAACAGAACCAGGCTCAAGGCACTGAACAGAGTTTATTTTTCCAACATCTGAATGCATCCTGGCTATCGTGTACTTTCATCCTACATGTTGGGGAAGAAGGAGGTGACTGGGTAAGACTCTTTGTGCAGTACTGGGAGGAGGTAGAGAAGCTTCTAAATAGTGGCCTGGACTCCATGTCTACTTTGAGAAGGATAGGCAGCAAGAAGGCCTGAAAAGGGAAACAGATGGAAGATACAAGGCCAAGGGCTAGAAAGGTGAGGATCATGAAGGTGTGAAGGCAACAGTAAGAGAAAGACCAATAGGCCTGGCTATGGAGACCCTCTGCTTAAAGGCCAAGAAAAATGGGGACAGAGGATAAAGGGGAGAACTGAGAACACCAAGGCCCCTCTCTTAGGGTTCTAGAATCACTGCCCTGAAAAAAAGTCCCAGAGAATAGAGCCTATTTAGGTTCATGGCCAGCTCTAACCTCTAGCACCTCCCTACTTCCAGTGGCCTTGGTTCTTTCAGAACAAAAGTACTGTAGGACAAGAGTCAGAAAGAAGAGGACTCAGTGTGGGGTGGGGACAGAGTCTGGCCCGGGTGGAGAGGGGAAATTGTTGGAAAGTCCCTGGCTTTTGCTCATTAGATAAACATTTCTGCCCCCTGCAATGGATATGCCCCACACACATTCGGGTCAGTCACTGAGGCTCCAGCCAAGAAGAACTAGGCTTGCATATGCATAGCTCTTGGCCGGAGCCTCAGTAACTGTCCTACCACACACTCTGGAATGCATCTGGAAAAGAGCAAGAAAAGAACTCAGAGGAGAACTGGAAAGCTTATTCCTTGCCCAGTCTCTCTGCAGATAACCCCAGCCAAGTGGGGAGGAGAGAGAGCCTCTTCTCAGACAAGCTGCCCAGCAGAAGCTCCAAGGGCTGCTGAGCCCTACCTTGTCTCTTTCCAAGGTAGAGAGAAGCTGGAGGACAATGCTCCACGTGTATTCTCCCATTACCTAAGTCACCAGGTCAACGCCGTGTCCCAGCCACTCTGAGTTCACAGTGCATATCCAAGCCTCTCCCCACAGGGCTGTTCTCTGTGCTCTTTATGTCGGGTCAGTGCCCCTCACTGGCGTCTTGACAGAGGGCCTGGCCAGAAGCTTGGAGGCCACCATGGTGACTGGCAGGCCCAAATAAAAACAGCCTCAATCCCACAAAACTCCTGTGACATGAATATTCTCATCCTCCACTTGATCCCGCCCCTCCAGAAGCCAGAGGCCTGACGTCCCACAAAGGAACACAAGCAACCAGAGGAGGACTGAGCAGCTTCAGAGCCCTTTACAAGGAGGTGGGAGCCTGGACCTACTGAGACTGAGCTCTGCTGCTGTTTCCCCCTATGGGCAGCAGGGGGCGCTTCTCACCCCTGCGAGAGCCAGAGACCCACCAAGGTGTCCTCCCTTCTCTGCCATCTTCTTAGATATACCATTCCCCACTGGACATACACATACACAGGACTTCCCAATCCGCATACTCGTTCTGACAAGACCCTCCTTTAAATCAAGGGGCTCCATTCATTCTGATAGAAAAGATGGTCACCAGGGGCAGCAACATGTGAGTAAGAAAAGGACAAGGGAATGAGGCAACAGCCATAGATGGATGATGGATACCAAGGTGAGTCTCACCCTAGCCCTTCCAGATGAACACAGGGTGGGTCCTGAGACAGACTTTGATGTGTTTTTTGTTTGTTTGTTTGTTTGTTTGTTTGTTTTGTTGTTTTTACCAGAGTCTTTGGTCCCAGGGAAATGATCAGGAATCCAAGTTGTTTATTTCCATCTGAGATAAGGGCTGGCACCCATCTAAGCCAGCCCTAATCCAGGCCCCTATCGCACTTCCACTCCGCACAGCTGAGATAGCACCATATGGTTACCAACAACTTTCTTGCCCGAATGCCAAATGATCTTTTAGGTCATCCCAGACACTTCTGCTCAGAAGTAACTGGCCAACAGTGGGCAGGAGGACAGGAGCAGGTGTGTGTCCTCTGAAGCAGAGCACCACGTGCTGCCCAAGGACTCAGGCTCCAGGTTCTGGGAGGAGGCAGGAGCAGCAAAGTCTAGCCATATACCTCTCCCTAGCTGACCCCCTCTTCCCTCCAGCCCACATGCCCAGGGAGTTCAGGCAGAAGCAGGGAATCCCTCAACCCTAAATCACAAAGGCCATCCCAGCCAGGAGACTGATTCTGGAGACCCTTTGAGATCACTGCAAATCTTAGGATCCCAAGAAAGAGCACAGGCCTGTCCACATGGACCCCTTTTCCCAACCCAAATGCTATCCCCTAAGAGGCAAGAACCCTATCTGGTTTAGGCTTAAATAACCAAAGGTCAGTAAGAGGCCAGCAGTCCCTGATGTGGCTGAGGATAAAGATGAGGGTGGGGGCTGCCCCTAGTTATGGCCTGGTCCTCCCCTCCCCGCCTTCCTGACATTCCACAGGCTGCTCTTCCCTCTGGAGTTCACTGCTCCTGCCCAGCCTAGGGACCACCTCCAATACCTGCACTCTAGGACATCTCTCCCAACTTCCCTCTCTCAATCAAGATAACACCCATGCCATCAGGGTTCCTGAGCACTGACCTGGAGCCACCCCAAGGCTGTGTCATGTTATTAACAGTTGAGGATGGGGGAGACCTTGCTGGTACAACAGGAGGGGAAAGGATGAGGAGGCCAAATGGGCAAATTAATGGGCTCTATGCAGGACTCTGATGTAGCCAACCTGAGTTTTTGTGGAGTGAAGAAACAAACAAACAAAGACAGTAGCCAAGGCCTCTGAGGCCAGAGGTGCAAGCAATGGCCCTGCCTGGTCAGAAGCCAGAACCAGATTCTCTTCCTTTCTTAAATCTCAGTCCACAGAATGTCTCTGGTCTGACTCTGTGGGTCCCTGTGCTCTACACTGCATATTGACCTTCACAAAAGGCTAGTCAAACCTCAGGGCATGAGATGGAGCTGACCTTCCACACTCACTCTTCCAGCAAGAACAATGGGGCCTCTGTCCTCTCAAGGACTTCCTGGCCCATCATCTACCTGGGATTGAGCCTCCTGCCTCCCTCAACCATCTAGTCCCAATTCTTACTTCTCCCTACTCCCACTTTTGTTCTGGCCATTAGGAAGAGGGGCAGCCCTAGGACCCTCCATTCTGCTCCCAATGGGTAGTGCCCAAGTTGAAGGTCACCAGCATAGCCAGATCATTGGGTTCATTGGTAAACCACTTGCTTCAGAGGCTCTCTAGATCAATGGTTCTCAACCTTTCTAATGCCGCGACACTTTAATACAGTTCCTTATGTTGTGGTGACCCCCAACCATAAAACTATTTTTATTGCTACTTCATAACTGTAATTTTGCTACTATTAATGAATCATAATGTAAATATCTGTGTTTTCTGATGGTCTTAGGCAACCCTGCTTGCGGTTCTCAAGCTGCGGGTTGCGACCCACAGATTGAGAACCACTGCTGTAGATATTCATACCAAAGTATAATTGACTGATATCAAAGATTGAGAGACAGTATTGCCCTCACCTTGACTGAAGGTGATAGGGATGGAAGGGAGTCTCCTCCTAAAGCTTCAGGACCAGAATCTCTCATTTTGTCCCATAGTCCCCTCAACCCCAGGAAGACAAGTGTGCCGTCCCAGACTGCACCACCCTACAGAGCCCTTATGGTAGGGGTGTCGAACTCAATCAGAGAAGGGGCCAAAATCTAAAATCCAGCCTAAATCACGGGCCGAATGGTTTACTGAACAGTCATAAACTGTCATTATGATGGAAACGCAGCGGAGTGCAGTGATGACAGCGGGGTGCGGGCCACATTGCAAGGCCTGGCGGGACGGATTTGGCCCGCGGGCCTTGTGTTTGACACATGTGCCTTATGGAGTCAGCTGTGCAGAGCCGTTAGACTCCACCCCTACCTGGGTTCCTCTTGGACTCCTCCCCCACAGTACACACTGAAGCTATACCATTCAAGGGGCTGGACCCTCTATGGCAGGGGCTGTGTCCAGGCCCCAGACTTCTCTAGTTACCAGCTGCAGGTGCAGCCACTTTCCCTCAACCCGTTCTGGCTCCTTACCCTTCTCCTCCATGGATGCCAGCACCCTCGGCCCTGTCCTGGGTTGTTTTTTTGTTTTTTGTTTTTTTTTTCTCATGCTTCCCTCTTGCCCGAGAGTCCTCCAGCCTCCTACCCCTGATCCCCTGCAGCATAACTCCTGTCATCTTTCTACCCTAATGAGGCCCCAGTGATCCTTCCAATCATACCACAGTTTGGACCTCACCAGCCCTCGCTCCCTACCCTGGACATGACCCAGGACGAAGAAGATTGACTTCAGTATCAACTGCACAGTTTTCCTTTTATACCAGTGTGTGTATGTGACCACCATGCATCTGTCTTGCACACGTCTCTTCTACGTACGGTATATGGGGAGAGGTGTGTGTATTGTCAGTGTGGCTTTCCATCCATTGTTCTAGAAGGCTGCTGAGAGCCAGCACCTTCTTCTCTCTTTGCTTCATGCATGTGACAACAGCTGAGGGTATTCATTGACTTAGGCAGGGGGGCAGGGCACAGCTAAAAGCACTGCTTGAGGAGTCACCATGATCTTGGGCTAATTCTTTCATTCTGTGTGACTTTGTTTCCTCACAGGACTCGTCTCTTCTGCTTTGATGTCTGTGAATGATCTACTCTCTTGTCGTTCACTCCCACCCCCTATCCTCCTCAGCTATTTTCAGAAAATCCTGGCTGCCTGTCCTTGACCCAGCTGTAAGGAAACTATTGTCTTGCTTAATAAAGCTTCCAGCTCCCTGATGGAGATACAGTCTCAACACAGAAAAGGGCAGCTAGATTGCAAAGCACTCCTTCTCCACCAGGTGGCTCCCTTCACCAATACTACCACTCACTTCTCCCTTCTCTTTCCCACTACTTCTTTTCTGAGTAGCACAGAAGGAACAAGGGGAAC